TTGACAAAATATTTAATATTGTCATCATATATAACATTATATAATGAATATTATAACAATAATGGATACTTTGTCAAAAATACAAATCAACCATGTCACCACTTGGTATATACATAGAGAGACACATAATTCTAAGACTAAAGAGATTTTTGAGTTTTAATTAACTGGATTTGATTAGTACTTACACAAACCAGTACTAGAAATATACTTTACAAAACCCCAATTCTATATCAAGAACAGGAACACTTGCGTACAATATACTATTGCAATCCAAAACTAAAAAATAACAAAAATTTTAAAGCTATTTTTTTTTAAGCAATGTTCATTGATTTCCCAGCATTGCAGTTTTATATTTCAGAGGTTAACAGTTTTAATAAGAAAATGCACAGAATTCAAAATGTAATTAAAAAAAATAAAATTTCTGAATAATTTTGTTGAGTTACTGGTTTTCATTTATAGAGTGCACTAAAAAGAGAGAAAGAGAGAAAAAAAGATAAAAGCCAACCCCCAAACCTCACAAGTTTTTGTACTGAATTCACATAATTTCATATCTGGAATTCTGAAAATAAAAATTCTAAGTAGTTTTTGTTATTTTCCTTTCCTTACAGAATTACATCTCACCAGCAAAAACAAGCATGTTCCTATTTCCTAAAATAAATAATCTTCACTATAACAACCAGTGTAGAATCAAGATTATTCACCTTAAGGAAATGTAGGGTTGAAATGGCTTATAAAAGGTCCAATATTTTAAATTGATTAACAGAAATACCAGCATATAAGTGAAGCATAATTAAAGAGTTTTTTCCTTTCAAAATACATCAAGAAACCAAAGTTTGCATTTTAACATCTAGCCTGATTTATGATGTCAGGAATAAAATGTATTTGTTTTTAATTAATCATTAAATTAAAGATAGTATATAGATATATTTGACTGATGTATATAATATCACTGATACCACATGTGTGGGCCAAATTCCTTTCTTTTTATTCTACAGCACAATACAGCTATTTCTTTGTTTTAGATATTTGTGCAGGCTGTACAAGTTTAACAAAATTATCATAATTACAGCTGGACAATAAGTTTAAACATTGTTTATTTTATATACAACATGCCACATTATGAGTTATAATCTTTGTTAGATTTTAAAAATATCCTATCAAAACTGTCAAGATTATTTAGTTCCCTTTATACAACAATTATTTCCCTTTACTCCCAAGCTGTGATGTAAATACCTAGGTCAAAGATTTCAGATTCATTTGAATAACTAAATGCATCCCCTCCAGCTATGGGTTAAATAGAGTAGACTGAGCTCTCTAGCTTTGGATGGCAACCAGTTTAAGAAAAGGAAACCTCTTAAGTTCAAAGAATAGAGAATGTAACAAAATAAGCACTCAATTGTCCTTCCCAAGAAGTTATGTCATTTCAAAGAAAAGGAATCTGTAGAGAGCTATTATTACCTATATCCTAAAAGGGACATGGTATAAAAATAAAAAAAATATTAATTTCAAGTAAAAAAACTATCAATACAATTGTTTATTTAGAAATATTACAAAAGACTAAACTGGAAATAAGTAAACTTGTATTAAAAAGCAAAATTCATTTTTTTAAAGCTGGTTGTGTAAATTAGTTGTCTCCATTCAATAGTAACAACTACACTGGGCAAGGTATAGAAGATATGACATACTGCTAGATATAAGTGATAAAAACTGCATTTATTTGATGTCAAAGCTTTATGCAAGATTTTCATAAAGAGAACCAACTTTCTGCATTTAAAGTTCAGTTTCCAACAGACGCATACAAATAGACTGAGCTTTATATATTGGATGCTTAAAAGGCTGCATTTTTGTTGAAGAGAAAAATTTGATATTTTATATTTACATCATTTTCTGCTGTATTTAAAAACATTTAAGATACCTAAAAATGATAAACCTGGTGTTCATTAATTTCAAAGATAAGAAACTTAATTATTATTCTGTTACCTGCTACTTTCTCTATTTTTTTTTTAATGATTTGGACTTGCTTATAAGAGTTCTTGCTAATACTTACTGCCTTCGCATACAAAAAAAAAAAAAACTCTGCATACACTTGATAAAAATAAATCTTTAAATCCACAAATACAACAGAAAAACTATTTTCATATTTTAAATTTGCTTGCCCCCATAATTGGAAGAAGATCAAATCCAACTTTTATTATCTAAATAGCTTTTTATATATATATATATATTATATATATATATATATATATATATATACACACACACACACAGAAAGAGAAATCTGTCAATCATCTTTTTATACATGATAAAATGGATAAAAATATAAAATAACTGTTGAATCATCTGAAAACAAAAATATTTTATTAATATTTTACCAATATAAAAATGTGGCCTACATTCTTAAAGATGTTAAGTCATCTAATGTTTGTCTAAGTTTGTAGAAGATTTGTGATTTGCAATGAACATAGGACCTATAAAAATATAATTGGATTATTTACACAGACTGTGTGCTCTACTTTGGAACGAGATGATATTCCCCAGCCTTCAGTATAGGATCACTACAGTATTTGTGCAATCTTTCAAAATATATATAAAAAGATTAAAAAAAAAAAAAAAAAAGTCTGTGAAAGACTAAACTATGCCAAGTTACTGTAATTTCTCAAAAATAATACACTTTTTTTTTTACTGTAAATTACAGGTGATAGTGGAGGTGTGTATTATAAATAGGTTCAAACAAAAATATTTTTTCATTATTGATTTATAATAATAAATATGTACTTTTTCTAAAACAAGATAGATATTATCCCAACTTTCATTTTAAATCCAACAATAATAATTGTAACATTTTTTTGTCAATAAATTTATGTTTATCAGTAACCGCATTTTTTATTTGGCAAAAAAATTTAAAAACATCTATAAAAAGGCCAATTCTGAAGAACTTATGGAACATCCACTTGATCATCTTTCTTTCACAAATTCAATTAAACTTTGTTCCATATCTGGATACTGAGCTTTTCTTCCTCTACCTATAGCTTTGGCACTTGATTTAAACTTTTTTTAGTTCATTTTTATTCTTTCTCCATGAACATAAGTTAGCTGCATTCAATTCATATTCTCTAGCTGCAGCTCTGTTTCCTATTCTTTCTGCTAATTCTATTAATTTTTGTTTAAAATTTGCACTATGTTTTGATGACATTTTTGCAGTAAAATAGAATGTTATATTTATCGGGAAAACCACATGGTAATTTTGAACATTATTTTAGCTGCTTAGTTTCGATTTTATTCTTAACGTCAAGGTTGACAAAATGTCTTCATAATTATATTTTTGTTTTTTTTTTGACAAAATTTATAAATGTGTATTATACATATGGATAAATATATTTCTAATTTTTGGATCATTTGTTGGGGTACATATTATTTATGGGTGTGTATTATGTTCAAGAAATTATGGTATATGGTGGTTTCCACTACAATGGGAATGCATGTCCAAACCGTTTCTTTATTAAGACTCTTGAATGCACATGCCGATAGATATAGATTTACACCATTTTAAATACCCCCCCCCAAAAAAAAACGATTAAATATCCAGTAAATATAACATTTAAATTAATAGGAATTAGTGTTGGATTATAGAACATTAATTCCTTAGAAATTACATTTCGGATATGAAAACAAATTTTAGCAGATATAGGCTTCAATGGATGGATTCATTTTCTATGGCTTAACCCTTTGTAGGTTATTTAAAGCCAGAAAATACATTCTTTTTTTAGAGTGTAAGAATTTTTTTTTTTTAGATAATGGTTTTAGTGATACAAGTCTTACTAATTAATCCATAGATGGGAGAGAAAAGGTGGATTCAAACCATTTTCAAGAGTATTTGCATGTAAGTGAATATAACAAACACAACTAGAATTGGAACTGCTCTCTAATTAACAATTTCAAACCATTATCCATTATACCACCCACACACCTAAGCTTACAGCATGTGGTATTCCAAACTTGTCACCCATCTAAACACTGACCAGTGTTTTAATGTGATGTGGCTCTAACCCTATAAGCTTAGAGAATTTCTGAAAAAGATATATGCTTTTCATAAATAGGGCAAACAAACTGACTGAATGTCTTCTGCGGCTGACCTCTCTAAAAACACACTGAGCTAGAGAGTGGCTTCCTTATAAGGGAGATAGAGTTTTGAATCCTGCAAGAAGGCATTTTTATTAAGTCTCTTGAATACACAGGCCAGTAGACAGATTTACAATGTTTAAATAACAGGGCTATCTATTCAAACATGTATCCACTCAGTATAATGATTGAAGTAATTGAACAAATACATGGAAGGATTCTCCCATCGATAACAATAGAAGAGGGTTCAGTAAATTATTTTTTTTTTTAATCAGTTCACCAGAAGCAAGGCTATAATACCACTAAGATGCAAGGGGCTACTGAGAGTGAAAGAAAATGAAAAGATTTTAGAAGGAACTGGAAACATGATTCTTAAAAGGAAACAACAAAGAAACTTCTACTTGTGTTGAAAATACAAAGAAGGACTGTGAACTGGATGATAGGTGAACGTCATTCAAAGCCTTCACTTAACTTCAATAAAGGAATTGTTTAAAGTGGGCAATTGCCTATGCCCAGCAGTGAATACTATCTCCATCATAGCACCATGTTCTGTACTGGTGTACTGTGTGCCACATGTCAGATGACACTATAATCACATAGGTGTATTGAATTGGAATTTTCCATCTGATAGCTACATGTTAACTGTCGGCTCCTATAAGAAGCTCATCTGCCTTTTGACAATCACCTCCAGGCTGGTTTGAATTCAGAATTTCTTCTAGATTGGTTGCCACCCAATTCTATATGGCCCAGTCTGTCCTACTATTTACTCATAGCTGGGTGGAAGAGAGAAGAGATGGATTCATACCATTCCCAAGTGTACTTGCATGTAAGTGAACGTTACAAACTTGAATGGAATCCATTATACCACCTGCACAACAAGTTTACAGCATGTGGTATTCCCAAGCAGTCACCCACCTAGGTACTGACCAGGCTTGCCATTGCTTAACTTCAGTGATCCAATGAGAACTGGAGTTTCAACATGATGGTACACACACTGCATTTTATATAGGCAAATAACTTGTTTTATGATTAGACATACATTACCTGATGTCTCCTTAGTTTAAGACGGAAGTGTGAACAAACTGATATAAGTGCCATGAGATATTAATATACAAAATATTGGCTTTGGAAGTGAGGAGTTGGCCTAACAGCAGCATGGAAAATAGAATCTGGTAACTGGATATAGATTCTTGGTGAGATAATTTGTTTTTATCTTGCACAGATTCCCTGGCAAAAGGCATGAATCCTCTCCTAAGAGATCAGGGATTACTCCTTCCACCTGGTATTCTATAATTAAATATAATTTGGCATATATTACTTGGATAAGATACTGCCCCCTCCCCAATAAATACCATGAAGAATGAATCATGGGACCCCAATGAAAGTATGTGCAAATAGTGTAATAGTTATTAGCACATAAAGTGTGATTGGTACTCCAAGTTCAAATTCCAGTATAATCTCTTCAGTTATGAAGATATGTAGGATAGATAATGGTCGACTCTAGACTTGAAGACATTAAGATCATAGTGATTATGGAAGCATTCTCTCAGGGATCTGTTCCACAAAGTAACAGTTCCTAGGGAAAAGCTATCTAAGTGGAACTTCCTCTTTATCAATGGAATACAAAGGAAATTAGTAAGAGTCAGTCCTGTATATATGGCAAGGTGGCTCCCAGTTGTTGTGAAGGTCTGAACTGGTGGAACTAATGAAAGTAGCTCATCTGAATATTTGGCATGAAAATAACCAGAAGTAAGAGAATGCAACCCCTTACCCACAGATGAAATGTTGCTAGAGTGGAAAATAATTCATCACTCACAAGGATAACTGAACTCTTTCAAGGATGAAAAGTGAGGATTGGGAAGCTCTAACTGAGATGTGGCAGCAATACTCCATTTTTACTCTGATTGTAAAGATAGAACATGGCGGGAGGAGTCAAGTAAATTATTATTATTATTATACAAAGATTTAAAATATATTTAACTTATGCTAAATCATGTTACAAGATTGCTTCCCAAATGATCACCAAAGTTAGGCAACATCAGTACCTAAATGGGTAACCAGGTGTTGTTATCTTGGATGTGTGGGTGGTGTAATCGATAATTGCTTGGAATTGTTAATTGGAGAATCAGGTCCCAATTCCCATTGGGTTCGTTATATTCGTGCAAATATTATATACTAGCTTAAAAGCTGCCTCATTGGGTGGCATTTAAGCTAGCTCCTGCAGAGGGATCTTGATTTGGCCTTCATCACAATGGGAAGGGAGGAGTAGATAGGCAATAATAAACTACAACTCAAAATTGATTGCTGCATTTAAGTATTGCATTAATTTATTTTAAAGGTTCAACAATTTCTACCTTTTTAAAAACAATTTGGTTCAACAATAATTTCAGTTTTTCATATAAAGACTTAATTTGATTATTCTAAAATCCAAGTTAAAATTTGTTAAAAAAAAAATCAATTTGAAAACTGAGAATATTTCAGGACTAGGTCCCACAGAATTTTTAATTTGCTTTCAGCCTGATTCAAAAATGGTGTATGTTGGTCACAGCCTCTATTTTTACTGACATTTTTATTATATAGATATTACATGCAACACGTGGAAAGGTTGAATCCACCTATAGGTTAATTAATTTGATTATTTTTTTCTAAAATCTATTTCCAAATAACCTACAATATAAATAATTGTTAAATAAATTTAAAAACAAAAATTATTAAAGTATTTATTGCAAAAAAAAAAAAAAAATAAAAAATAATCCTACCAAAAATTATATTACAGATTGCAGTTTTATGCATAATTCAGCTGTAGTAGCCATAATGAAAATTACTGCTGTTATTAAGAAACAGAATCCCAAAATTTCAGGACTGGCACAACACCTTACTTTTCAATCAACCTTCATAATCAGTTATGGGATAATTGGTTTTGATCTTAACTGGATCTGTGCAAGAGGACATCAGAATGACTTTTTAGGTTAATTTGATCTGATATTCTCATGGAATCAGCCTGATTCAAAAAAAAAAAAAACCAAACAAACAAACAAAAAACCAAACAAACAAACAAAAAAACCAAACAAACAAACAAAAAACAAACAAACAAAATAATTGGCATTGCATTTATGTTTTTGAAGATCAAACTTAACTGGAAAGCAAGAAACTGGAAGAAAGTTCCACAAGCGAGAAGTGTAAAAGAAGAAACTTTTAACATCGGACTTATGGTTATATCAAGCAATTTCAGTAGTAAAATTAGATCTTGCTGCCAATCTTGTGCTTAAATTCATAAAGTGTAGTTACCATAGAGGAAAGTTCAAATTACCCTGGGCACTACTTCACCTTCAAAACTTCCAAAATGTCCAATATAAATCTTTGAAATTCAATAATTTAAGAACAGAGAAAAACAAACAGCAGCCATAGACTTGTAAAAGTAGGTGCTGAAATGTTCACAGCCAAACCAAGAAGTGCTTTCAAAAGAAAATAAATTTAAAATTACTATTAAAAAAAAAAAAAACTTTGTTCAAATTTGGGGGAAGTATATTAAGCCGAGAACTTTTCAGCATACTTTCACAAGAAAATTGAAATAGAAATATTTTTATGCTAAGACTGATGTATCTTGATATTAGAATTTGTTAATGGACTTAATAACATCTGTGGTGTGTAAAAATTTATGACGTATTAACTGTTAGGAAGTAGGACTTTATTATGCTTGTTTTAATATCTGTATTTTTATTTTTTAGTTTCAAATATTGATTGTGTCTCATTTTTCAATTTTATGTTAGCAATGTGAATTTTATATTGCATACTTCATTTTAATTAGCTTTTTTTGATGACGTCCAATTTTAGTTTCTGTTGAGATCAGAAGTTTCTTTCCAATAAAATTATTAAAGAATAGTTTTATTTATATTCTTTACATTTGGAGTAATATCTTCATCATAGGATTGAGGATTAAACATTGTTGATGGATTTGTCTTTTTTTTTTTTGGTGGGGGGTTACAGCTTATCAACCTATTACAGGTTATTTAAAAGCCAGAAAGTATTTTTAGATTGTAAAAATTATTTTGAGATAATCATTTAGTGACAAAGTTCTACTAATTAGCCCATAGCTGGGGGGAGAAAAAGTAGATTCATACCTTTCTCAAGGGTACTTGAGCATAAGCAAGTATAACACACTCAAGTGGAATTGGAACTTGGCTTTCCGACTTCCAATTCAGAGTGATTCTCCATTAAACCATCTACACATCCAAACTTACAGGAGTTGACATTCCCAGGTACTGATCAGTCTCGACATTGCCTAACTTTCAATGTTGCTTAACTACAGTGATTGTACAAGAACTGGTGTTTCAATATCATATGGGCATAAGCCAGAGGATTAAAGAGTTGGTTTATTAATTTGGTGGTATAGTAACTGTGGGTTCAATCCCTGAGTAGTACAGACTCAACAGAAATGTGACAAACAATAAGTGAACAAGACAAAAAAAAACCCAAAAAACAAGACGAGATATTCCTAGATGAAAGAGAAACACCTAACCCTGCAAGTTAAATAATGTAGTATTTAAAAAAAAAAAAAAAAAAAAAAAAATCAAGAACAGGAAAAAAAGAAATTGTTAGAACAATTTTTATAGATTAGTATTCATTAGATCTTTCTGTACCAACACCATTTGTCAGAAAAAAAAAAAAAAAGTTTTTAACATTTCAGAAGTGTGGGTGCTACTCTTAATAAAAATAAAGTGTCAAATCAATCCATAACTTCCTCAAGAGTTACCAATACTTTCATTTTGTTTACAAATAATAATTTTAAAACTGTGCTTACATCATTGAGAGGATGTGCAGGATGGCTCAGACTGAGAAATCTTGTTTTTGGAAAAAACATTATTTCTAACAAAACTTAATACAATATTCACTTGGAAAATAAAATCATATATATATATATATATATATATATATATATATATATATATATTATATATTAGGATATTACACCCAAAATATGTCAAAATTGCTACACAGTTGCAGTCGTGTTTCGATGCATACCAATGCATCTCATCAGGCAATTGTAAATTACTGGCAAGTGAACAATTTATTTAGAATTAAAAGCGAAATACAACCTCTTTTTATTAAAAAAAAAAAAAAAGGGAGGGGATAAGGTTTTCATTTTGTTTACAAATAAGTTTAAAACTGCGCTTACATCATTGTGTAGGATGGATCAGAATGAGAAATTTTTTTTTGAAAAATCAATGTTATCTCCAACAAATGCAATATTCACTTAAAAATAAATATATGCTGAAAACGTCAAAATTGCTACACAATTGCAGTCATGTCTCAGTGCATATCAATGCATCTCATCAGGCAATTGTAAATTACTGGCAAGTGAATGATTTAGATTTAAAAGCAAAATACCTCTGTTTATGAAAAAAAAAAAAAAAAAAAAGGGGTGGGTATAAGTTTTGCGGCCTTTACTCTTATCAACCAATCAAATATTACCTACGTTAAACTAAGCAAAGAAGCAAAAGTTAAAAAATATACATGTCCTGGACATTTTAAAAAGAGTCTTATTTTTTAAATTCCAAAAATATTTAGAAAGTGATGTATTATTTTTGTAAGTATTATTGGTGAAGGACAAGATATGGTGATACCAACTAGTCTTGAAAAAATTCTTAGTACTACCAATATAGAATTTTTCAACCATCAGATTCTCTATTGTAGAGATAGTACAAAGATAAACAAGAGATTTAGTTAAACATTTGTTTGGTAATGGTCAGAATTTCTACAATTACATTGGCCAGAATTATTAATATTTTTCTTGGGATGTATATTATAATCCAGATTATTGGTATAGAATTTTATTATTGTGCAACTTTATAATCTTCAAGATTATTGGTGCAGCTATAACTTAATATGTTTCTGTTAAATATTTTACTAAGAGGGTTACTTTTAGGAAAATGTTTATCAATCAATTGGAACTTATGGCCTAACTTAGTATTGACTAAG